AGTGGATTAAGTCCTTGATAGAGAAAGGCAAATCACTCTTGAGAGAGTGGACTGGAGTAGTTGAGTTCAACGAACCAGGATAAAAATATCTGTGTTTGAATCTTTGATTATTTGTCATACTTATTCAACCCCCCCTTCTAAGTATTTTCTCACCTTCAGATGATAGTGAACTCTATAGTTTTCATTCTATTAGATGTACACATCAGGAAAGAGATGAAGGGATAACGCATGATGGCCCCCTTTCTAGGGGTATGTATATTGATCCCATTCCTTATACACATTCTCTTGTATATTTGGAACCTGTTGAGATTTCACACAACAAATATATGACTTATTACTTTATTAGATCTTAACGAATGGTGAATGGTCGGGATCCTAGTGACATAGATGTTAGAGATCACATTAACTTTCTAAACCATTCACAAACTTATGACCAACATGATAGTTGGGAAGATATGGTATGGAAAGTGTGTCAGGGTCTATTATTGCGTGACCGTGCTACCTAGTACCATTGGGTGGATGTATAATCGGTGGGGCTGATCTCCTACTTAAATATTGTTATGCATTTGGATGGATCCTAACACATTTGTGTGTGTCTTATAATTTATCAGTCTCCCACGTTGATAGCTCCAAGAGAATTTACAGCTTCTTTGATGGATGTCCCATTAAATTCTATGAATGCTTGTTCTGTAAATTGAAGTTCACCTTTCAATGATTTTGAGGAGGAGATACTGAAGCATCTCTGAATTTTGCTATCCTCAGTTTCACCTAGTAGGTTGGACATTTGTCAAGATATTTCAATACTAGTGCGAATACCAGGAAAAAACCTAGGAGTGCCAAATATTAGATATACCAACAAATATAATAAATATACCTATTAGTGATGTTTCTTTTTCTGCTATTGGGATAATGATCCTAAGAATTCCAAATATTAACCCTTTTGAGGTCAAGAAACCTATTACAAAACTTATCGTGTTAAGCGATAAATCTGGGTCTGCTGAGGGTTTCGTTGAAGATGATAGCGAACTCTATAATTTTCATTTTATCGGATGTACACATGTGGCAAGAGATGAAAGGATGAATCATGATGGTCCCGCTGCTAGAGGTGTGTATATTAGTTCCCTTCCTTCTACACATTCTTCTGTAGATCTGAAACTTGTTGAGGTTGTATATAATGAATATATGACTCATTACTTTATGAGATCTTATCGAATGGTGAATTATTGGAATCCTAGTGACAGGTATGTTAGAGATCACATTAACTTTTAAAACCATTCTAAAACTTATGGACAACATTAATTTTTTCATGACAGCTGGAAAGATATGGTCGGTAAAGAGTGTTAGGGTCTGGTATTGTCTAACGATGCTACTTAGTACCATTGGATGGATGGGTAATCGATGGGGATAACCTTCTACTTAAATAGTATTGTCCGTTTAGAGGGAGCCTACATCGATGTGGGGGCGTATTTTGATTGGTCGATATCCCACATTAATAGTTCCAAGAGAATTTGCAGCTCCTTTTGTGGATGTTCCAATAAATTCTATGAATCCCTATTCTCCAGATTGAAGTTCACCTTTTAATGACTTCGAGGAGGAGGTACTAGAGCATTTCTGAATCGCTCCATTTCAGTTTCACCTAGTAGCCTGGCCATTTGTCAAGATATTTTAGTACTGGTGCGAATACCAGGAAAAAACCTTCTCTGAAATTGTTTTTCAACATCTTTACCATGACACAGACCTTGACCGTTTAGAACTTAGGACAGGGGCTGCTTTCTTTTTTCAAGTCGGCCAAAGTGTTTGACGTTTACCTTGAAATTTGGAAAAATTTCAATAATCATTATTTTTTGGTGATCCATCTGACTCTAAAAGGCTCATTTTGTCTTCTGTAAGATCCCAAAAAACCATGATTCCTTTCCAAACCTCTTAGGATCTAAGCTATTGAAGTGCAATGATATAATCTTTAAATGTCAGGTCTAGAACCACTTCAATTAGGGATCGATGACTTACATTTACTAATCGAATTCTTTAAACTTAGAGGAAGAAACATTGAAGGCTGACTTAGTAGCCTTTCGAGGGAGATTGAAATATGAATATGGGTTGGTTCTAAGGAGGGACCATATATTCATTAAAAATATGTTTTATCGATACACGAGTGGTTGTTGACGCGACCACCACTCTAGATATGAAAAGCCAGTTTGACGAGAAGTTAAGTTATCTTTATGTTTGCCTTTATCATTCCCATAATATTACGCTGACTATCTTTCGTCTTATTTTTCAGATAACATGATGTCCCTTGATAATCTTTTCAAAAGGAGAAAGACCTTGGGTGTAGTGAGGTGCTCACCTCCGTTAATCCAACTCCAACTCGAGTCCAAATGGAAACGACCATTGAAACGCCTCTCATAGAAAATGAGGTTCACCCAAGGGAGCAAGCGAGTATGCTTGAAGAAGGACATTCTTCCTCTAATAGATAAATCACTAATTTTAATGAAAAACTCACCCATAATGCTTTGGAGAATTCAAAAGGGATCAAAGTAAGAATAAATCTCAATAAGGACCCATTATCGTAAAGCCTATATCACCGGGACCTGCCTCCGGGGGAATTGTCTTGGGCGGCAGCAAATTGGATCCTTATCCTTTAGTCTTCTTGTCCTGGGACCTCGCATTTCCTAAAAGATACGACCTATCATCTTTGAGAGGGGGGGGGGGGTTATGTCTATATCTATAACTTCACAAACATAGCTAAGTTGGAGCTGACAATGAAGATGACCTATGACATGTAATAGGGTGTTGCCATAATGTCTTTGGTGGTGGTTAACTGTGGTGTGGAAATGGTTCCCCGTAACCCTTCCAAAGTGAAAGAGCATTGAAAGGGTTATCATGACCTCGCTGCCTACAAGTGGAGTTTACTTCCTAAAAAAGTTCTACGACTTCCGTTAGAATATGGAGACCCGTGGTGCCCCTTTTAACCTAGTTTTACAAATTACTATTATTGGGATTCAAGTATGAGTAGCTAAGTCCCACATCGAGTAGAAGTTAAGAAAATGTTGGATATATAAGAGAATGAACCCATACCCTTCTAGCCTTAAGGTTTTTGGTGGATATGTGGTGTCAATGTCTCTTGGATTCATGGATGTTTAGCTCATTGACACTTTCGACGCTCTTGGGGAGCCCAAGAAGTGAGGTGTTAGAAGCATCATTGAGCCAAACGTTCTGGATCTGAAAGACCTTGACACCACATATCCATAAAAAACCTTAAGGCATAAAGAGTACAAGTCCTTTCTTTTATGAACCAACATTCTTTCATTTCTAGTCGATGTGGAACTTAACTACTCACACTTGAATCCCAACAATCTCCTCCAAAGGTGAGAGTCACCCACATCACTAACTTTGATCCAGACTAGGACCCATTTCTGTTTCACCGTTAAGCCTAACTAGGCTCCAATACCACTTGTAAGGGAGTATGAGGAGCGAAGAGCTGGAACTGTCAATAGTCAAACGTTTAGGATACAAGAAACCTTAACGCCAGATATTCACCCAAAACTTGAAGACATAAGAGGTATGAGTCATTTCTCTTATAAATTCAACATTTCCTCTATTTTTAGTCAATGTGAAACTTAACCGCTAACACTTGAATTCCAACAATGACTTTTAAATATTCTTGATCGAAAAGAAGAAAATTATTAAAGATGTGAGAATTTCATTGAAGAACTCCAAAACATCTAAGGTAACCCTGTACTTACAAGTTACTAAAGTTGAGAATTTTCACTTTAATATATTTCAATGATTCTTATTGCACATCACTCTTTTGAAATAAAAAATCTCTAAAACTATATTCATTAGAAAATTACCTATGAGAGAAAAACTAATTCATTCATTATTCGATTGTAAATTTTGTATATTAAAATATTAAAATGTAATAATATAATATTATTGATAGATTATAATAATTTAAAATTGTTAATAGTTCTATTTACTAAATTTTATTTAAATGTTGGGTTGAATAATTAACTATTTATTAAATATTATTAAAAGTATTATAAAATCAACATTATCTACCTCTTATAGATTCTCTATTTCTTTTATTTCTTTTTTTTTATAAGAAAAATAAAAGAAAAATATAATTAAAATAGAATGATATTAGAGCCAATTTATTTTAACTTTAAAAAAATAAAATTTTCTTTTTATTTTTGTAAAGGATTCTATAAAAATATTTTTTAAAATATTATAAAATTTTTTAAATTTATTTTTTATAAATTAAAATAATTTTGATATATTATAACATAAACATACATTATTGAAGATCAAAACATAGTTAAAATCACACTTTTAAAAAAAAGTTGTATCTCAAAATTAAATTTTATAAAAATCTATTTGAAATAATTTTAAAATTAATAATTTTATAAAAATTTGATATTCATTTTAATAAAACAAAATTTTTATTTAAAACTTTAATTAAATTTTTTTTATAAATTATTTTTATATTGAAACATATTATAGTATAAAAGTTATTTTAAAAAAAAATCTAAAATAAACTGGCCCTAAAAAAGGAATGAAATTTTTATAAAAAATTAGTTAGATGCAATATCGTAAATATGGAATGGTACATGCCACTTAATGAACATAGAGGTTGCTGGCAGTCGCCGTCTTTATTTTTAAAACTTAAAATCTTCTCTCTCTCTAACCATTTCCAATTGATTGAAAATTTTGACTCGCTCTGTTTCTCAATTTCGCTCTTTCTCTGCTCTTTCTCTCTCATCAAAACGACGTAGCTTTTCCTCTGCGCCATCTTCTCCTCCGGTAATCGGGGGAGTCGCACCGCCGTCGTTTCCCTTCCCTGATTTTCTCACCACCCTTCGATTCAACCGTTCTCGTTTCCGTTCACTGATTTCTTCTCACAAAATGGCTCATCCCACTTGCTAGGGTTTCACCTCTCTCAAATCTTACTCTCCAAAACCACCCTGTACCTTTTCTTCCTCAACCTAATTCACTTCATCTTCATGGCTATCCGAGTAACCTTCTCCTTCTCAGGCTATGTCGCCCAAAATCTAGTTTCCTCCGCCGGCGTTCGAGTCGCTAATTCTCGTTGTGTCCAAGAATGCTGTATCCTATCTCGCATCTTCGGAACCAACCAGAAACGCGATCTCGAACGTTCCGGCGGCGTTCGCAGTCTCTACCCCGATCTCCGGAGACCTAAAAACTCACCTGTTTCCGCTTATTCTACCCTCGCCGGAGAGATTCTCTCCGAAGGCTGTACGAATCCGATCGTATTAGGTTTGATTTCGATGATGAAGTCAACGAGTGTTGTATCGGGGTCAACTTCGGCGGCTATGGGTATTATGGGTATTGCACCGTTCAAAACCTCTTCGATTATACCCTTTTTGCAGGGTTCGAAGTGGCTTCCTTGTAACGAGTCTGTTCCCGAACCTACAACGTGGGAGGTTGATAAAGGTGGAACGGAGTGTGTTACTGTTTCTAACCCAAAATCGCGTTTGAGTCAAAAAGAGACTAGTGGTTGGATATCGAAGTTGTTGAGTGTTTGTTCAGAAGATGCTAAAGCTGTGTTCACGGCTGTTACTGTTAGTATACTGTTTAAATCGTTTTTGGCTGAGCCTAAATCTATTCCTTCTGCTTCTATGTATCCAACTCTTGAAGTTGGTGATCGTGTTTTAACAGAAAAGGTTAGTTTCAATTGTTTGTCTCATGTGTTTGCTTATTCATTTGTTTATTTGTTTATGGCTCTTTTGAATTGATTAAGGTTGTTGTTTCTGTAACAGTTTTCATTCTTCTTTAGAAAGCCAGATGTTTCTGATATTGTGATTTTCAAAGCACCTCCTTGTTTGAAGGTATCTTTACTTGCTACAGCAGTTCAATTATTGCAGTTTTTGTTTGTTTTCTGGCGCATTTGTTGATGAATTTAGATGTTTCTTGTTTGATTTCTCTTATGTAGAAATTTGGTTTTAGTTCATCTGATATATTTATAAAAAGGGTTGTGGCTAAGGCTGGTGATGTTGTGGAAGTAAGTTTATTTATTTATTTGTGGATTAATTAGTAATTGATCACGTTTAAAGTATTTGCATTGATCTCTGATGTCTTAAACATGTTTTGAGGTAGGTTCGTGGTGGGAAACTACTAGTGAACGGTGTTGCTGAAGAAGAGGAGTTTGTATTGGAACCTCTTGCTTATGAGTTGGCTCCAATGGTAATACTATTTTGGTGTATTGGTGCTTTGTTTATTGATTGTGTTACTTGGCAACATGGTTAATATTGTAGTTTTTGTTCTTTTAATGTTTGCAGGTTGTGCCAGAAGGGCACGTGTTTGTGATGGGGGACAATCGTAACAAGAGTTTTGATTCTCATAACTGGTAAATTTTCCGATCCTTTCTTACTGACTTTTATCTTTTTGTTTCAATTGGAGACTAGAGAGTATATTGCCACTTGGACGACACATTTGGCATATTTGTTGATGCTGTTCTCAAAACTTCTATGTAAACATGCTCTCAGATCTTAGAAGTTTGTATTTAGCTGTATATATGCATTTAATTGTGATGCCTGACATTAATATCTTTGCTTTTTTTGTGTGTGTTCTTCAGGGGTCCACTCCCGATCGAGAACATAGTTGGCAGGTCCATGTTTCGCTACTGGCCTCCATCCAAAGTTGCGGAAACTGTCTCTGTTCATAACACCCCACCTGGAAATAAATCTGTGGCAGTTTCTTGACGTGATTTCCACTACATTCTAAGGAGATGAAAGATTATTGATACATTCATTTATTCTGAATGAATTGCTACTCCAGTTTTGGACAGGGAGTGAGCTGTTACTCAACAATTCTCCAGGACGAGTCCGCTTGTCTTGATTATTGTTTGAGATGAATATCTTATTCATTGATGCAATTTTGTCGATGACCTCATAATACTGTTCTTTAGTGCTATCCTGAGATGTATGGCCCCTTGCAAAAGTTGGGGGAATAGAAAAATTGAAGAAACATGATGGTGGATTTTTGTTGTATTCTTTCATGTGTTTTTTTAAATCTGAATGCTAGAAACTTGAGGAAAGCTTCGACATGGAGCTATTTGACTCCTTGTAAGTAAGTTTCATAATAAAACTGCCTCATTGTTTGTAATTGATATGAATGAAATTATCTGACCATGGTTTTTGTTTCAAATTTCAGATTAATTTACCATTTCTTTGTAATTTTACAATGTGCTGTAATGTGTGCTGATTGTTAATTGGAACAGATTTTGAAGTTCAATAAATATTACCCATCATTGGAATTTGCTATAACAAATTATTTTATTCGTAAAAAGCTTTTTTTGGTTCAAAAAAAGCTTTTTTTTGTTTTGTTGAAATCAAAGCAATATTATAACGCAGAACACCTGAACAGAGAACATAACAATCAGAATGATTAGAAATGAATCGGGTCATTACCTAACCAAGTTCTGGACCCAACTTATTTGCTATCCCAACCATAAACGGCGAGCATCAACAATCAATGACTCCTAATGTTATCAAGCTGATTTATAGCAAATTCCTTCAGTATTGACCTATCATCTAAATGGCAGCAGCAGCAGCGTAATCACGACTACTGATGCATCAGATAACATTTCATCAGACAACAACTACATTATGGAGTTGCTAGTTAAGTTATTTTCCAGCTGCTACATTATTCCAGTTGCTAGTTAAGGAAATGGCTAGCCAAACCAAGCTAAGTGAAGAAGATTGATTTGAGTAATAGTTATGGGATGAAAATACAAAGTCAAAACTCAATTCTATTGACATTTTTTTTTTTAAATGACCAAGTGAAACACTGTTAACACACTCTTTCAGCCAAAATTCTACCGTTGCTGGCAGCATGGAGGTGATGATACCACAGTCTTCAATATTAATGCGAGTGCTTTGAAGAATCCAGGAATGTCGAGCTTCACTGGTTTGATCCCTAAACGCGAAACTGTGAGTACTTCTAATATTCTTCATAACTGAGTTTGAAGCTTATTCTATGGTCCCGACCACTTATCCTATGGTCCATGAATCTTTGTCATACCTACTACTATCATTTGGCCTGTTTGGGTTTGTTATACTTTAGAATCAATTACAGATCAACTTACCAGTTTATTGGGGCTCTTTCCCGGCCTCTCAAATAAAAAATAATTACTTGAAAGTGTATAATAGTTTTTTTTTTTTTTAAAATGTTAAATACTTATATTTAGTTTCAAATTCATGATTTTTCCAGTTTAGTCTTTAAATAACATTTGTCCAAATTTTAGTGTTCATTTTGTTTTTATTGAGAATAATGCAGCGATTATAAAGTAATAAAAGTAGAGGCTGAAATAGTACAATTTTTGCATGGACTAAACTTTAAATTCACAATTTTATCGGCTATTAATATTATTTTGAATTTTGATATTGTGATATTGGGTTGAGAATTCTTTATTATGTGTTATGATTCGTTTTAAAATGGATTAATATGTTATGTTTTAAAATTTAAAATTTCACATATAAGTTGAATGTTTTTGTCAATGATACCCTTATCTTATATGAATATTTTCACAAATTTTTTAAAAGTTCCAGCTGTGGTTTTATAGACTAATTCGCCAATATGACAAACTCAAATTCCACAAAATTACCATTGGACTACTTCCAGGGTGACTCTACGATGCTGAAGCAATAAATTTGTCAATGAAGCAATGGTACGGTTAACATAAATATATGTTAATAGGAATAAAATTTAATAATTTAATAAATTTAACAATTTACAATTTAATAATATAATCATATTAATTATTTTATAAAATTTTGTATTAATAGTTTTAAAATTTAATAATTTAATTTATAAACTGTGACCATTTAAATTAAAATAAAATTTAATATGAATAAAATAGTACTCCTTCTATTCTAAAATAGTTGTCGTATTTTATAATATTATTTCTTACAAGATAAATATCACATTTTAGTTTATAATGTAATTCTAATATATATCTTTATGTTCTTTAATTAATACTCTTAATTTATTATTCTCTCGCTCTAAGTTGTAATTTGAATACACCAAATAATAAATAAGGATAAATTTGTTAAAAATACTCTTCTCTGTAAATAAGAATGATAAGAATCTTTACGACCTCTAAACTTTTTGCAAGTAGTTGGACATCTTTTATGTTGCAGTAAGACACTTTACTCATGCATCTTTAATGTTAACTTAAACATACCAAATCCTTATGAAGTGATTCAAGTTTATAAATTTTATTTATAATAATTCTTTTTATACAAGAACATAAATATATAAACTACATGTAGATTAAGTAGTCCTAGTAATCTGACATTAAACCTTAACTATGTCAACAACATCATCCTTTGAATCACCTTGTTTGTCTTCCACTGTTTTGTATCTATACCAAGAAGCACAAAACAAGTAAAATCCAAAGTTCACAACACTTATAACAGACAACAGCCAATAAAAGTAGTTAAGCTTGTCTCTATTCAAGTTATTACTTTCCAACCACCCTCCACTCACTTTGTTCACAACCTCAACAACCACAGTGCTTGTAAAATAACCAAATGCAACAGAACACCAAGAAATAGCTGTACTAAGTGATTTCATTCCAGCTGAACTTTCTGCGTAGAAAAACTCTAGAAGTCCAATAAGTGAAAACATATCCGCAGCACCGAAAATAGCGTATTGAAAACCCAACCAAAACACTGTCATTGGTAAAGGCTCATTGCTGTCTACCATGTTGTGTTCTACTGCTACGGATTTTCGGCGTGTTTCGATGAAACCAGCTATTAACATTGATATTGCTGAGAGAACTAGTCCAATTCCGATTCTTTGAAGGTGTCGAATTCCAGTTGGTATCCCTGTGAATCTTCGGATAAATGGGACGAAGAATCGGTCGTATAGAGGGATTAGGACAAACATGAATAATAGAGGGATGATTGGGAGAGAAGGTCCTGGCATTTTGAATCCTAGGATGTTTGTGTCCATGGTTGTGCTTTGTTGTATGCTGAAAGTTTGAAGCTGCGCTAAACATGTGTTCATGAATATGGTGCTTAGTATTATTGGTAGCATTCGGACTAGGATTTTTGTTTCTTCTACTTGTGTCACTGTGCAAAGGTGCCATGATCCTGGACTGTTTTTACCAATTGCTGCTCTATCCAAGAATCTGAATCCATTTTTCCAAACAAAGAAAAAAACAAATTAGTACATATGTAAACTTATCTACCGCCGTGTTTAGATTGACATATTTGAGCGTATCTATTAGCATAAGTACTTGCAAGACTTCTTAGAAGAACTTATAGAAAAAATCTATGACATGTACATAAGTCCTTATGTTTTTTTGTCATAAGCACTTATAGCATAAGTGCTTAAATTGCCGTGTCTAATCAAAACTAGAAGATTCAAATATTTTTCATTATATTTCTATAACCTGAATTGATCTGTCCTTTTAAGCATTTCATAATTGTCCCCTCTTTCTTTTTCATGAATCTCATGCATTTCACCTTCATTCTCTGGAATTTGGAGTTTTCTGTTTCTGAAAGCTGCCACAAACACCTGAAAGTTCAACAAGTCCAATTAAACAATAACATTTTGAATCATATAGAATAAATAAAATACAATAATAGTAATTTTATTCACCTGTATGATTCTTATTAGAGGACTTCCCTTAGGAGTATTATTTCTATATAATGACTTTCCCATGCAAATAAACAGAATTGAGAACAAGACTGCAATAGTGCAGACAGTAAAACTCCAATACCATCCTTGATTAGTACTAATCCAAACAATGACAGTAACACCAACTATTGCTCCTGTTGTAAGACTAAACAAGAACCAGTTAAAAAAACTCGACAATTGAGATGCTTCCTTTGGATCTTTATCATCAAATTGATCAGCTCCTAAGGCTGGTAACGCCGCTTTAATACCACTTGTTCCTAATGCAACAAGGTATAATCCTGTATAGAGTATAGCAGCTTGGCTTCCAGCAGCAGGCTTGCATTGGTTCATATGAATTGGTGCTATATCTTTGCAAGGTATCGGTCTTAATTGTTGGAAACGCGCTTGAACTGTTAGGATACCATATCCCTGCGATTAAAAGAGTGAGTTGTATTAGGTCATAATGGCCTAGTAGGAGTCGTCTTAAGATTTTGGAGGACCTGTGTAGGTTAGTCACAGTTCAACCACGATAAAACAATTAACAGGGACAAATATCTTGAGGCCCTATTTAGCTACTATTTAACCGTGTCCTGTGTGATAGCATGTCATGCAATCCCTCAAAGACAGAAAGGGTGGAAACTTATGATCGTTCAAAGATACCTACATAAAACGTCCAGAGAGCGAAACTACTAGGTTGTAGCATCGAGGATCGATGAAGTACTAGTAAGCGAAATTGATTAAACCTACCAACAATTCCATGCATGCGAACAGAACACAAGTCTTGAACCTAGACAAATATGTATCACAAATTAATCCGCCGACAAGTGGTAGTAAAAATGCAGTTCCCATAAAGTTGGTTAGTGTTGTGGCTGATTTTGTCAAGCTGAAGTTCATATCTCCAAGGAAGTAAGTTATCAAGCTCACTGCATTGGCAACAAACGCCATGTTCTCTAACCCTTCCATAGCTACAACATCCACAAATAAAAACTTTAATTCACTAAACAAAACAAAACATTTTAAATAACAAAGATGAACTTTCCAAGTTGTTACCATATACAAAAAATGCAGCTCTCTT